TGCATCATTCCCCTTCCGCCATGGCAGCAGCAGCTGCTGCTGCTTCCGGCGGAAAGGGTGCCACCTGTGCCGCCTGCAAACAGGGTTGCTGTTCCACGCTGGGTTGGATGCGACCCTTCGGCCTGCTCCTAGCTCTGATAATCATTGGTGAACTGGTGGCTGTCTTTCTCACGCTGGGTTTTGAGTCTCGTGCCCTCAATCCCATCTCAGGTATTCACAGCCAAATGCAAAGCATGTTTGTCGAGGCCAAGACCGACTTGTCATCACAGCTTCAAGACCCTGAACCGGCCACTGCCTGCTGGGACACACTGGAAAGGGATTTTCAGTGTTGTGGGGCCACGGGCTATATGGAGTGGCTGGTTGATCATAGTCCAACTCAACTTCCTTCCCTCGCCAACTCATCAACGGGTGAGTCAACGGTGCATTGCCTTCTCTTCCCTTACCGACGTTCTAATTGAAGTTATCCGAAAATAAAATGCAGGAGCAGCAACAGCCTTGTTTCGGGCTCACTACACGTAGTTCGCTTGACTTCCTACTTACTTCCTAGTAGCAGGCATACTTTGTTAAACTACTTTGGCATCGACTGTTCTTCAAGCTAAAGGTACGACACAGTCCATCTGCATGTTACGTTGACCCCCTGAGAAAAAAAATATATTAGTTGAGTTTATCTCAGTTTAGTTAGTTCAGTTCAGTTGTAGTTTAGTATTTGTTCGATTGAGTCTACTTTTTCTCATTCACTTGATTGTAGTAGAATTTGCCTGCATTAGGGTTAACCAGGTGTTTTTGTAGGTTAATGTTTGCGTACAGAGTCTGTTGTGGCGAAGAAAGGTCAGGAAATCTCCGAATTTACTTTTTTGCGATGTATGCACTTATGCAACTAGGAATTTGGCTGCTCCCTCGGAAAGTGAGGTCTGGCTTATTAGCCATCGTCAGCCAGCCATACCCAACCCCAAGTGGTGCTCCATCCCAGGCTCGAACTGGCCACTAGCTAGTCGTCTTGTCGATTTAGGTCGGTAGATATTGACACTCGTTCACCGACCGCTAACGGAACTCACTCCTCGTAGATTACTAGTCGTTGTGCGACTGCTGTCAGGGCCCGAAAAATGAAACCCAAGGCAGAGTGGGACAAGTGACTTCCGTTAGCGACCAATGTAAGTTCGTCAACGAGTGTCAATATCTCCCGATCTATCCCGGCAGGACAACAACCTCGTGGCTCAATGGTTAGAGCGTTGGACACTGATTGAA